GGTCTCAGTATGAGCTGCAGGCTTGGGTTTCCAGCAACAATCTAGCCATTGGCAGGACCAGGATACACAGAAGGGATTAAGAAAATGGCATTTATACAGAACTAGTGGTGGGAAGAGGATGTGCTCACAGATGGAGTTCTAGGGGCAATCATCTGGTGAGTAACACAGTTTCCACATAATAGATTGTCATAAGTTAAAAAATAATAACTTCAGACACTTGGTCCATTATACATGGATGATGCTACTGCTCTGGGTATCTCTCCAGCTCCCGTGCAGCCGGTTCTGTCACAGTTCTTCACCACTGCAGTGTGGCCATATCTTGCATTATTTAGACGGAACCTACTTCTGCAGCCCGCGTGGTCAGACCCACTGCTCTCACCCTCCCAGCCACACTACACCTTCACCCTGACTTTGGACTTAACACCTTTACCACATGTGTTTCTTCTCCACGATCACTCTTAGCACTGCTTCCTTCTCGGTCCAGGTGTCTCTATGGCCCACTCTTTGGGCAGAGAATTCCGTGCCCTAACTGGCCTCAGTAAAGCTCAGTTCTCGGTCCACCCACCATTCTACTGTTTGCAGCACTCCTGAGCATCCCAGTTTCCATCCTGTCACTGTAACAAACACCATGACCAAACGTAACCTGAGGAGGAAAGGGTTTATTCCCTCTTCCCGTTTATAGTCCATTACGAAGGGAAGTCAGGGCAGGAACATGTGGCAGGAACCAGGTGGCAGGAACTGAAGCAGGGGCCGTAGAGGAAGGCTGTTTCCTGGCTTGCTCTCCAGGCTCATAGTTAGCTCCCTTCCTTATGCCTCCCAGAACTGCCTGCCCAGTGGTGGTACCACTCATAGAGGGCTGGACCCTTCCATACCAGTCATTAATCCAGAAAATGCCATACAGACTTGCCTACAAGTCAATCATTCCAGATGACCCTAGTTGGTGTCAGGCTGAAAAACAAAACAAAACAAAACAAAACAACTACTGGCACACTGAGTCAATGAGAGAAACTGTGCCCCCCAAAAAAAGAAAAAAAGAGAGAAAGAAACTAAGGGAGGGAGGGAGGGAAGAAGGAAGGAAGGAAGGAAGGAAGGAAGGAAGGAAGGAAGGAAGGAAGGAAGGAAGGAAGGAAACACACTAGTCGTGAGGCTCTGTACGTGCAGGCACCCCTGCAAGCCCACAGTTCCTCCTAACTGGAATCCTCAAAGCTTCTTCCTTATTCAGCACTCTATCCATTGACACAGCAGCTACTGCCAACTTTTCTTCATAGCTCTTTTCATTATTTATATATATAAAATGCTAAATTTAAAAATTCCTTCCTTTTCCTGCCTTACCCAGCTGGAATTTAAGTTTTAAGGCAGCAGGGAGCCTTGTCTTATACACAGCTGTGTCCCCCTTTTACAGGAGATGCTCATATTTGCAAAATGCATTAGTGCACCCTTATGTTCCTCGACACACTTTCTCTACTATGTATGAGTAAGTATCTGCCATTTTTCCTCCCTTGCCCAAAGTTTCATGGGTTTGGAGCTTGGTCCTCAGTGTAGTAATGCTGGGAGTCAGGGCCTAATAAAAGGTCCTTAGGCCAGATAGGCGCCAGTCCCACAAGAGGAACTGGCTTTCTTTCTTTTTTCTTTTTTTTTGGTTTTTTGAGACAGGGTTCCTCTGTGTAGCTTTGCGCCTTTCCTGGAACTCGCTCTGTAGACCAGGCTGGCCTTGAACTCACAGAGATCCGCCTGCCTCTGCCTCCTGAGTGCTGGGCTTAAAGGCGTGTGCCACCACTGCCCCAAGGAACTAGCTTTCTGTCTGCAGGCATGAAGTCTTCTCACACCTGCTCCCACCACTACCCTACACCGTGAGGTGATGCAGACAGGGTTTGGGGTGTGCTCAGGAGCCTTCATCAATACTGTAAGTAAACAGACCTCTTTTCTTTATAAAGTTAGCCAGCCTCTGTTGTTCATAAAAGAAAATAGGCAAACATAGTTCCTTTTGAAATTCCATCACGAGTCCATTTATACATTATATTTTATAGCCCTTCAGTGGTCCCTATTTTAAGACAATGGAAAGTCTCAATAACCAATTAAACTGCAATGCCTTGTACTCAGCTGAGTGCCTGGAGCACAGCAGAATACTACTCACTGTATCTGAGTAAATAATATTCAAGTACTTGTTTGTCTTTAGGGTGACTTTTTTTTTTTTTTTTGGTTTTTCGAGACAGGGTTTCTCTGTGTAGCTTTGCGCCTTTCCTGGAACTCGCTTTGGAGACCAGGCTGGCCTTGAAATCACAGAGATCCGCCTGGCTCTGCCTCCCGAGTGCTGGGATTAAAGGCGTGCGCCACCACCGCCCGGCTTAGGGTGACATTTTATGACACACTTTTCCAAAGGAATACTGATAAGTTCTTGCATTAAAGGGTTCTATGGTTGAATAATCTGAGGAAATGTTGCAACAATTTTACTTTCAAGACTTTTGAAATGTCTCATCAACTAACAATATGTTCTCTGGATGTGCAAAAAAATTAAGCTTTTCCCAAATACAACCTAAGACTGCGTATGTGTCTGCATGCGTGTGCATGTGTGTACATGTACATATTCATGTGTACACATAACAGATTCATTTTTTGCCACTACTGCAAAAATCAGAAGGAAAAAAACTGAAAAACAATCTTCAATAATTTTCTTCATAAATTGCTCAAATTCATATTAAGAACTTTTTCATTCTAAAATAAATGAAATCATGATATTCCATAATTCATGCACTGATTTGGATTAGGTAAATCAGCAAATAGTTGTCTAAAAGGCTCACTACTTCTCAAAAAGTTAACAAGCATCAAAAGAGAAAATCTCCTGAGAGAAATAGAAGCCTACATGGAAAACAACACAGGATTTGAGAGATCCATTGGAAAGAACATTACAAATAGAAGCACAGTCCAACAGTGCCCTGAGCTGAAGAAAAAAACCAGAATTTTTAGAAATGAAAAAAAAGTGAATTGAAAATAGCTGATGTTTTTGTTTGATCTGGGAATTAAAACTGGGCTCTTGTACATGCTAAGCAAGCCCCGTACCTTGGAGATAAACTATAGCACTCCCCTCAGGCACTTAGGTATCATGCTACCACTGTACAGAACTGTTTTAGTGAGTCCAAAATATAGAAAAGTGTAGATAACCAAACACTGATAGAAATGTACCTCACATGAAAAATAAACCAAGTGACTACAATTTTTATCAAGATATAGTCTTAAGTAACTTATCTACATAGAGCACTATATACAATCTGTTTATTTCACAAACTAGTTCCTATCATACAATGTTCCAAAATATTTGAAAACAAAAGCTCTCTAAAGAAGATACATAATTCTCATTCCCTTAACTATCAACATTGTATCACAAATACTGGTTGATTTCTGTTATCTAAAAGGAGTCCTTTAATCAGGGAGTAGAAGACAATGTTTCAAGCTTTCTTTCAAAAGTATTCAGGGAGGTCCCCAAAGGTGCCTCAGTGGGTGAAGACTTGCTGCCCTGCCTAACCACCTGAGTTTGATCCCCAGCATCCACAAGCCAGGAGAGAAGCGACTCCTGCAAGCTGTCCTCTGACTTCCACAAGCATGCAGTGGTACACATGCATCCACACACAAATAAATGAATAAATAAAATAAGAAAAAAAAGAATAAAGTGTGCAGAGTCCCCAAACCCTAGTGCCCTTCTACTATCTGAACCTGCTCTTTACATCTCCCCATTTCATTACAACCCTTGTTTCCATGAGATGACTCATGAGCTGCATCAAATGTGACTTGTTATTACTTGGACATTTTAACACACTGTAATTAGCTGCCACTTAATGGCTGTTATTAGTACAATCAGTTATCAAACCCACAACACCTTGTTCCCTCTAACTTAGCAAAGGAAAGTATATGCATTTCAGGTTTCCTCTGGAAATGTTGGCACAAAGAAACTTTCTCCGCCCTCTGAGTCAGTTCTCTCAAATTAGAAAAGAGTGCCTTGGTTTATTATATACACAGATGTACATTGTACCCTGCTACAGACCATCCCTTTAATGAGACACATAGATAGGGATGTAGTTCAACTGGTAGAGGGATTCCCTAGCATGCACAAACCCTAGATTCAATCCTCAACTTGACATAAATCAGGTGTGGTGACATAGCCCCATAGTCCCAGCACCCAAAAAGGTAGAGGCAGGAAGATCAGAAACTCAAAAACTCCAAGTTATCCTCAGCTACATAGCTAGTTTGAGGCCAACCTGGGCTCCCTGGGGCTATATCTTTAAAAAAAAAAAAAAAAAAAAAAAAAAACCTCAAGACACAAAACTTTTCTTGCCGCGTTGATAGATGGTATTAGCTCATTACTACACAGTAGTTGATTTTTATTAGTTATTCATGGTTCTGCACCTTCAGACTCATCTACTTGCTAAAAATCTTCTTACTCCTAAGACAATCCTTAACACTTCTGTGGTCACTCTCAAAAACACAGTGGGAAAGATGGGGTCACCCAGCATGCACCCAGCTGGGGCTGCTGAACAAAGCAATCTGTTGTTTCTCCTTTGTGTTGTAAACAAGTATCCTTTTCATAGTCACGTGTTCCAACATTTTTCCTTTTGTTGTCAATTTGTCGGTCTAAAATAGTCTTGGGGGGGTGGGAGGTGGGGGTGGGGGGGTGGGGATGGGGGAGTGGAGTTGGGGGGGTGGAGGTGGGGGGGTGGGGGGGTGGGGATGGGGGAGTGGAGGTGGGGGGGTGGAGGTGGGGGGGTGGGGGGTGGGGATGGGGGGAGTGGGGGTGGGGGGGGGGGTGTGAGCTCAGCAGTTAAGAACCACTATTGCTCTCACACAGGACTCAGCTCAGTTCCCAGCATTCACACCACCAGTTCACACCCTAGTTCCAGAGGACACAGGAGGACCTTTGACCCCCTCAGGCACCGGCACTCATGTGCACATATCCACATTCAGACATAGACACCTACACATAATTTTAAAGTAAATCGTTTTTTAAAAAATGTCCCCCCTTCTCGCTCCCCGGCCATCTTGGCGGCTGGTCTTGGTTGGGGGCCGCACCTAAGGTAGGAAGATGGTGGCCGCAAAGAAGACGAAAAAGTCTCTGGAGTCGATCAACTCTAGCCTCCAACTTGTTATGAAAAGTGGAAAGTATGTGCTGGGGTACAAACAGACTCTGAAGATGATCAGACAGGGCAAAGCGAAATTGGTTATCCTCGCCAACAACTGTCCAGCTTTGAGGAAATCTGAAATAGAATACTATGCCATGCTGGCTAAAACTGGTGTTCATCACTACAGTGGCAATAACATTGAATTGGGCACAGCATGTGGAAAATACTACAGAGTATGCACACTGGCTAACATTGACCCAGGTGATTCTGATATTATTAGAAGCATGCCAGAACAGACTGGTGAAAAGTAAACCAGGAAAGTTTTTCTTTAATAAAACTTTACCAGAGCTCCTTTTAAAAACAACAACAACAAAAAAAAAATGTCCCCAAGCACAGTGATGAAGTTCTTGATGGTGCTCCTGAGCACAGGAAGGCTGTGGTGTGGTCCTGGGGTGCTCCTGAGCATAGGAAGGTTGTGGTGTGGTCCTGGGGTGCTCCTGAGCACAGGAAGGCTGTGGGGTGGTCCTGGGGTGCTCCTGAGCTCCAACAAGAGACTAAAAACACACTGAGGAGGTATCGAGCTACTTCCTTACAGGATATGCTCACAGGTTACATGCATATAGACTCTGCAGAACCGGCTCCTGTTAAAATCTTACTCTTTCATTGTGTTTTCTTGGATCACACCAGGCTAAAGGCAAAATAAGGAGCTTTGCTACCTAGGTTGAGTTCACATTTTACTTTGGTAAAAACAATAGTTTTACTTCACCCAAAAATATCTACTATGCATTAAGCCTCCCACACAGCATTCTCAAATATGTGATTCAACAGAACTTTTATTTCTACTTTATTAGGCCAACATTAAGTAAAGTGGGTAATTTATTCCTAGAAAAAAAAAATGTACTTGGCTTTTTCCAACCTTAAACATGAAAAGCTGAAATGATCAACTGCAGAAGCATGTTTTTTGGTCCTTGGTATCCTGGCTAGTTCAACCTTTAGTGGGCTCTTAGGAAACCAGAACTTTAAAGAGATCTCTACTAGGGAATGGGAGGATGGGCCTAGAGAGATGGTTCAGTTCTTAAGAGCACTGGCTGCTCTTCCAGAGGACCTGGATTTGATCTCAGCACCTACATGGTGGCTCACAATTGTCTGTAATCCAGTTCCAAAGGATCCAATGTCTAGCCTCCTCAGACACTAGCACTTGTGGTGCACAAACATGGATGCAGGAAAAATACCCATGAACATAAAACAATTTTCTGAAGAGTTCTCTATGGAGACCTGTACCCAGCTCTGTGGTTCAGCATTCCCATTAGCAGCAACCATCAAATCCCCTGTTCTCGGCAAGCTCTGGGTAGAGAGCCTGCCTACCTCTGCACTGGGTCTACATCTTGTCCCACTTCCACCACACCTGGACAAACATGCCTCCCAATTGGTTATTCCAGGGCTCCTCGGTCCTCTGCAGCCTCATGCTAAATGGCAGTTTTCGGTCTATTATTTATTTGTTTGTTTATTTATTGGTTTTTCGACACAGGGTTTCTCTGTGTAGCCCTGGCTGTCTTGGATCTCTCTCTGTCTCTGCCTCCCGAGTGCTGGGATCAAAGGCGTGCACCACCACTGTCTGGTTTCATCCTATCATTGTTTTATCAACAGCTGATGTCCTTTCTCCACATGAGCAAACTTAGGTTTAAGTTTGAACTTAAGTCCATTTCTGTTTCCAAATTTCTCCCAACTCACTTCCTACCACAACCCAACATTATTCTCATTTCCTCTTCACAGTGTCATCTGTTGGCATTCCTGAACCACACATACAATCGTGTGTGTGTGTGTGTGTGTGTGTGTGTGTGTGTGTGTGTGTGTGTATGTGTGTGTGTGTCTGTCTGTCTGTCTGTCTGTGTGTGTGTCTATGTGTGTGTCTGTGTGTGTCTATGTGTGTGTGTCTGTGTCTGTGTGTGTCTGTGTATGTGTGTGTGCCTGTGTGCATTCGTGCACACATGTGTAGAACTGTGTCTATGAGTACATGTTTGGGCAGGCAGGGGTTGCGATGGGTGGAAACAGTCTCCACATCAGCCTTCCCAGCTCCAGCTTACTTTGCCTTTCATTCCTCAGTGAATTCTTCCTAACTCTGGGTCATAACTCCATCCTTTAAATGGGAAGCATTAACCAGCCCTTTGCAATCCTCTCATCATGCCCTGCGTTCAGCACTTCCTCACTGAACTGAGGATGATGGCCGAGAAGCAGTGCCCTCATGCACTGTATTCTGAGTGCACTGGGCAGGGAGAGATGCAGAGGGCACTTGTCAGGGACCACTGCCCCACAGCGTTGCTCTCACACTCCAGATCATTGTGAGGGTCACTCAACAAGAAAACCAGCCTGTAGATAACTTCCATAGAAAAGCACAATGCCTAAACTGCTCTAATTACAGTCTGAAGAAGTCACAAATCAGGAAACACTACAGAACACAAACAATACAAATTGTATTTAGTTTAATTTGGTAACACACATCAGCACACAAACTGCACGCAACTGCATGAGAAGCCAAATCATTAGTGTAGATAAGGCTTTTCTTTTCCAAATAAATTTTTGTGTCCATAAATGAAGAGGAAAATTTTAATTTCAGGGAGTAGCAGTTCTTCAATCAATTACCTTAAATTATTAAAATACTGAATTTTTAAATATTATTGAATTATTAATATTATTGTTTCGATCAATTTTTTAAAATAGATTAAGCTTTTGATAATGCTTTTTAAACAAACATAGGAACATTTGACACTTAGGCCAATAAATTCTGTCATGGCCTTGCTCATGAAAACTGGGCCACTCATTTTCCATGCTGCTTATAATTCTAAGGAAAATTTTTCTCTTTTTCTACCAAGAAGTACATTTATATCAAAGTTCCTTTGTTGTCATAACTTTTATATTTTTAGGCATTCATAAATAAGAGTTGCTGGGAACAGAAAATTACAGCACATTTATATCATGGTGGCAAAGTTTCGCCAGTAAAGCTCTGCCTTGCTCAGCTCATGAATGACCAGATCAGAACAGGTTAGTGAGAGGATGGGACAAGCGCAAATCCAGAAGCACCAGTGAAAATCACTGTATGCCTGCACTCCGGCATTGCTTCTGAGCAACAATCCCAGTACCTGATCTGCCACCAACATTTCCCACAGTGTGATGACGAAAAAGCACAGTGAAAATTAACGTTCTTGTACAGAACTAAAATCCACTGTTTTCGGTCATTATGAAGATTTTGTAAAATCTCCAATCAAGTACTGATTTCTGTCTTAAGAGACTCCACTCTCTCAATCCACTAAATTTTTTTTCCAATTCCCTTTTCCCTCTGAAACCACTTCCCTTTCTTCAAGAGCATCAGCATCCCACCTGGAATACAGCCCAAGGGCTGCTCAGCAGCAGCAGCTGTAAATGAATGACAGCTGGAAAAAACATCCAACAGCGGCCCTCATCCTAAGAACGTCAATTGTTGTTATAGCTGACTGACCATCTCTGTGATTCTGTATCTGACCACCTCACGTTCTCCAAAGTAAACTTTCTGAAATGCAACTTGGATCCTTGCACCAGCCTTCAACCATCCAGCCCTGGCTCCAAATCTCTTAGGAATGCACTGTCCACGGTGCATCAGCCTGTCCTTGCCTAGCTTTATTTCAAACCCCCACACTTTACCATACCCACTCCCCTCTTCTGGCCTCCTCAGGCACCAAGACACTAGGCACACATACAGTACACAGACATATACAGGCAGGCAAAACACTCACATACATAAAATTTTTTAATTATTTTTTTAAAAAATATATGAAATCTGGCCGGGCGGTGGTGGCGCACGCCTTTAATCCCAGCACTCGGGAGGCAGAGCCAGGCGGATCTCTGTGAGTTCAAGGCCAGCCTGGACTACCAAGTGAGTTCCAGGAAAGGCGCAAAGCTACACAGGGAAACCCTGTCTCGAAAAACCAAAAAAAAAAAAAAAAAAAAAAAATATATATATATATATATATATATATATGAAATCATTACACAATTTTAAATCTAATTTCACAATTAAAAGTTAAAACATAAAAAAATGCAGCAGCCTAAATGAAAAGATCAAATACATATTCCACAACCTGCACTATTCCTTGCAAACTAAACCCACCTTAAATGCTGTCTCTCCACTGTGTGGACTGACCTTAACGAGCACCTCTTCAGGAAGAACTTGTGGTAGGTAACTCTAGGAAAGGCTTCCTCTTCTGTACGGTTCATTGCATCACTGTGGCCAATGACAGAATCCCTGGTCTTACAATTAGCTTTTATGTCTGTCTCTTCTGCCTCAAGGATAGTTCCTCAAAAGCTTACACCTGTTTTTTTTTCAAGCAATTAGTACAATGCCTAACAGAATAAAAACAAAATATTTATGATTGAATGACTCAATTCTACCATGGCCTAAAATCACGTTATGTCATAAACTTCATAAAAATGCCTTCCTAGAGACAACTGGCCAGTTTCAAATAAAGTCTGAAGCTAAGTTGGCTCTTTGTGAGTCCACTCTCACAATATTCAATTCTGGTGATACTAACTAAAACACCGGATGTCATTTAGCACATAAAGATAATAAGGGCACTTAATCAGAAGAAAAGTCATCCACAATCCTATGACTAAGACAAACTGCTTTGATGTTTTAATTATGCATTGCATTTGTTACATATATAACTGGGTTTAGATACCTATAAATGTAGGGCAGACCTCAATTTTGAATTGGCTTTACCATTTATCAGACACTGGCTCAAGATAATAAGTACGTGTTCAGAATTTGTGTACTCTATGCCACAGTCACTGAATATCCTTCATGGGGCCTGTCTTAGTTATTGCTCTATCGATGTGAGAAGACACCGTGACCAAGGCAACTTATAGCAAGCATTTAATTTGGGGACTCACAGTTCCAGAGGGATGGAGCCTATGGTCACCTTGGTGAGGAACATGGCAGCAGGTATACAGGCATGGCCCTGGAGCAATAGCTGAGATCTAACTGGGAATGGCATGACACCTCAAAGCCCACCCCTAGTGACACACCTCCTCCCAAAGCCACGCCTCTTAATCCTTCCCAAACAGTTCCACTAACTAGGGACCAAGTATTCAAATATATGAGCCTCTGGGGCTATTTTCATTCAAACCACCACAGGGTCATTCTTCATTTTCTGAGGGCTACTGTCGACTTTGGAAAAATTTAGGAAGCTATCAAAGACAAAGTAAATAAACTGTGCTAACAGAGTCTGGAAAACTATTAATTATAAACAAATAATTATGAAGTAGTAAAAGTAAGCATCTTTTGAATCTCGGAAACAAGCTTTGAAAGCAAGCATGTTTGGAGCCACACTTTTGTATTGAACATGGTGACCTGAAGCCAAAGGTTCTTTGAGGGCTTAGAGAGGTGACTCAGCAGGTAAAGCCCTTGCCACCCAAGAAGGAAGCTGAAGCTTGGATGCCCAGAACCCTCAGGAAAAAGCCAGGTAGATATGGTGGCCTTCCTGCAATCCCAGGAGACAGAGTCAGGGAGAGAATCCCTGGAGCAAGGTGGCAGCCAAACTAGCCAAAAAGGCAAACTCCAGGTTCAGTAATCTCCCCCACCTCACACCTGATGTCAGCCTCAGGCCTCCACACACATGTAAACATGCATCACCATATGCACACCCCATTCACATACACACACCCAAGAATTTTCTCTGAATATACATTGTAACATTCCTCAGGTAAGAATATGACCATATACCTAATGCAGGATGATCTTGAAAAATAAACATGTGCAAAAAGCCTGGCACTCAAGATCAGTGTCTTATTAACTTTATTATCATTAAAAAATCCTATTTGATGTCATCCTTCATTGCTTAAGTACAAACTCTGTCCTGTAAGAGGACTACGTCATAGGAAATGAATATATTAAATCAAATTATACTTGTATTTCCTGGGCTCCACACCATATAATCAGCTCCCTAGGGCACAAATTATACTAACCACACTTCCTGATCCCTAGAAGTTTGCAAAGTTATTACAACATCAATTGATACTACCTAGGAGGAAATATTCTGCAAGGAAAAATAAACTACTCTCAGGTTCTAAAGCTTTTAAGACATTTATCTTTGGCCATATATAAAGTATGGACCACTATACTAAGTGAAGACATACAAGATGTTAAAATTTGGATCAAGTTACCTAAGTGGGCAAACTTATAAAGTTTTTGTTTATACATGCATCATTGTGGATAAAAAGAAAAGCTTTTTATTCACATTTTCAAAGTTGCTCAGTCAGTGGTAAAGCCCTCGCCTGGCAAGCACACAGCCCTGGAGGCTTGATACCTGGCTCAGTAATAAATTCATTTCCATTTTCAAATATTCAGCCGTAATACTTTACTACAGGAAATAGGTAAGCTAACAACCACTGGAGATTAGGTGCTCAAGAATCCAAACTCTTCAAAAACACAACTGTGCATATCACAGCAGCATCAGTGGTTACTCATGCACGATACTCATAGCTCATTCTTGAAATGGCTCTTTCGTGACCTTGCATGTGGACAAACAACAAAAACAACGTTTTTCAAATATAACCAAGTGTCTTCAAGCTCCTACTTAAGAGATGCCACCATAAACCAGTACAAAACAGAAAAATAAATGTAAATGAAACCTTTCAAGTAAGAGCCTGAAATACCAATGAAAATGGGAGCATCCCTTCTGGGTAGGTGCTGGCTGCATTGATATGTACACTCCTTAGGCTCTTAGCAGTAAACCTCCATGGAGGTGAATGCTAACCAC